ACAAATGTAGAAAACGGCTGTTCCCAAGCCTCTGCGTGGCGGAGCTGCTCGCCTGGCTGCTGTGCTCCCCTGAGCCGCAGACAGCATGCGGCGCGCCCGGCTCAGCAGGAGGGAACAAAGATTTCGCAGAGCCCGTGCTCCACGAGAGAGCTTCTGTCATGATGGCTTCCATAGGTAGGTTCTTGGTTTCCTGCCCTCCCTCGTTTTTGTGCGTTTTCCTCAGTCTGAAAACTCGTTTTTGTGGGGCTTGTCTTTCACTGGCCGCGTTCCCGGCAGCGCGCAGCGGCAGGGAAACGTGATCTGCGCTGTGTCTGGGTGCGTTTGCCTGGGGTGCGAGAAGTGGGGGAAGGCGGGGGTTAAATAGAGCGAACACCGCAGCGCTTCGGCAGCGCGCTGCCAGCGCTGGCACGGCCCGCTCCCGCAGCTCGGGGGGCGCGGGGGTTGGTAGAGCATGCGGTATGCTGCTCTGTTGGTTGCAGGCTCTGAAGAAAAGAAGTCGGGGGAACAATTATCCCTTGTGTGGTTATGTAGCAATATCTGGAGTCCACAGAGAAACTGAAAAGCTTTGCGGACAAGGAGTTTTGTCAGTATGAGCTTTTTTTTCTGTCATCGTTAACGCAGTGACAGAGGATGTGAGGCAGGGTTCGTGAGCTTTGTGAAGTTACTTTTCTGCTGAGGAAGACTTAGAATTTTTTGTGTGTGGTGGTGGGTTTTTTCATAGTAGAAGTGGGGACTGCCTGTAACATACGTGATTGCTGACTACGTACAAAAACTTTGTCCAGGCTGATTCTTTTCCCTCCCCGAGGAGTTCCTAGTGTTATAGCATGCATATAATGTTATAGCAGCATTAAATTTCGTTTCAAAAACATGAAAAAAGAACTGATTTTGTAAACATTAAGTCTTTACTGAACGAGAGCTGTCACATAGTTTTCCTGCTTTCTTGCTTAATGAGAAAAACAGCGTATTGTGCCACTAGCGCTGGCAGAGTAGTTCTTTTAATTCAGGCAGTACATGTAAAATACTCTCGCTTTCTTAGTCCAGATCTGAATTTTCCATCAAAAAGTAATACAGTCTTATAGCAGCCAAATGTTGCATGGTATGATGTGCAGGATGAACCAGAATAAAGAGCCTGATTCTTATGGCCTTAATGCAAACAATTTTTTTCAGCCAGTAGCAACAGATGCTTGTCTAAGGACTGCAACCCTAAAAGGAGAGTTGCCGAATCACAATTTTTAAGAGACGGACTGACCAAGAAAACGCCTAATAGCTTCACTTCTCAGTCCTGTTATGTGATAGTGAACAATACTGAAGATAAACTGAACTGAGTTTCGGTTGGTTTTGGTTTTCACTTGTTTCAATTCCAGATTATTAAAAGCAGCTTCTGAAAAATCCCTTCCTTTTCTGGTTCTAAAATGAAAATGATTTAGGTATACTACTTCAAAACTAAAAAGCAGCACTCTTTTGGTATTGAGGTGCAGTGAGCTGGGTTCAGTCATTTGTTACAGGCCAAGTGACTGCAGAAAAGTGAACAGGTTGAAGAGGGTCACATTTAGGCAGAATTTTTCTGACAATAGAAGAAGAAGTGAGACTTTTGGTAGAAGATCCAAACATCAGTTTGATTGCTTCCATGCCTCCTGCTAGGTAGGTACTCCTCAGACGTCAAAAGCTGCATACTTGGACCTCTCTGGTGCCTGCTGGCACTGGGCAACTGGACTGAGACAGGAAAAGGGGA